AGGTTCACTGAAGGACAGTCATGCCGGTCCCCTCCATCTTCTGTCACAGGAGCGCTTCCTGGTCAATGCCACACTTACCACTGTACCATGTGAGGCAGCTTCTCTTTGATGGTCCGGTGTGGGTCGATCTCAATGGGGTAATAGTGGTGAAAGAGCGCGCTGAGCTATGACAGCCAATGAGGAGAGAGGTCACTAGTGCCACCCCACGGGCCCCCAGGGAAAATCAAAACCACCTCAGGATGGTGCTTCCTCTAAAAGTTTTCTTCAAGTCTTCACATGGGATACATCATGTATGAAACTCAAGTTTCTCCACATGCCTTCCGACAGCTCACGCTTCCCTATTATATAGGGTATGCGGTGGGGCGGTATTCAGAGTTCTTTGCTCGTTGGCACCCACCCCGAGAATGAGGCCGAGGAGTCCTTGGCATGAGCTAGACTTGGTGGCCCATGCCTATAATCCCAGCACTTGGAAGGAAGAGACAGGAGGATTACAGATGTGTAGCCTGGGCTATATAGGCAAGCCTAAGCTACATAGTAAAATTCTGTCTCAAAACCAAAATATATACATATAGACGCTGCGGGAGTGGGGGGCAGACAAGGAGTGGGAGCAGGGATGCAGCTTGTTGGCAGAGAGCTTGCCTAGAGCGCAATCCTCAGCACCACAAAATCCACGGAGGCTGAAGAGTTAGCTCAGCAGTTAAGAGCACTTGCTGCCTTGGCAGAGGATCAGGGCTCAACCTCCAGCACGACATAGAGGCTCACAACTGTCTATAACTCTAGTCCTAGAGGACCTGACACCCTCTTTCGACCTCAGTGGGCACCAGGCACTCATGTGGTGTATGGATCTATACGCACGCAAAAACACACATAAAATAACAGTAATAAAAACTAGTCAGTGAGAGCCGGGCCTAGTGGCTCACACATTTAATCCCAGCACTTGGGAGGCAGAGGCAGGCGGATCTCTGTGAATTCGAGGCCAGCCTGGTCTATAAAGTGAGTTTCAGGACAGTCAGAGCTGTTACACAGAGAAACCCTGTCTTGAAAAACCAAAAACAACAACAACAACAACTAGTCAATGAGGCAGCCAGGTAAGTGATAACTGTCGAATAAGGGCTGGAGATGCAGCTCACCTGGGTGACTATTTGCCTAGCATCAACATGGTGGCTCACAGCCGTGGAACTCCAGTTCCAGAGGATATGGTGCCCTTTTCTGACTCTGTGGGCACCTGACAAACACACACACACATACATAAATGCAGGTAAAACACACACACACACACACACACACACACACACACACACACACACACACACATATAGTAAACCACCAGGCAGTGGTGGTGCACACCTTTAATATCAGCACTTGGGAGGCAGAAGCAGGTGGATCTCTGTGAGTTCGAGGCCATCCTGGTCTACAGAACGAGTTCTGGGAGAGCCAAGGCTGCACAGAGAGACCCTGTCTTGGGCGGGAAGGAGAGAGGGGGAGGGAAAGAGAACTAAGTGACAGAGTTATCTGCAAGAATGAACTCAGCAATGTATAATAGCCTAGCCTGGCTCTGCTCCAGGAAGCGACCACTCAGGGCAAAAGCTTGGAGCCAAGCAAACCAAAGGCCAAAGGTCTAGAACTGGTTTCTCAGAATTTGTACACATCTTAAAGAAATGAATTAACATTCATTCAGAATGTTCTCCATATCTGTTCCCTTACCAGAAAGTAACAACATCAATGACATGGCACAATACAGTGGGAAGAGTTTGGGACAAAGTCTCTGCAAAACCAAGATATGTGACTCAACCGAATGACCAAGGGGCAAGTGGTTCAACCTCTTGAAACACCTGCTTTCTCACAATGGAGAGAGTAATACGATAGTTCTATCTACCTTTGGAGTAGAGGGTTGTTCAATAAGATATAGCATTCAAGTCTCGTGCAAACTCCATAGTTAGCAGTAAGCATAGTGTTCACACACGAACCACCCATCATCGTGTCTCAGCCAACAGAGAAAAGCTGTCTCATATATGAAGACTAGACTCAGGGGTCTTGGAGAGATGGTTCAGCAGTTAAGAGCACAGACTGCTCTTCCAGAAGACCGGAGTTCAGTTCCCAGCTCCCTCATCAGGCAGCTCACAAGCACCTATAATTCAAGTTCCAGGGGATCCTCTAAGGGCACCTGCACAGATAACTCTCTCTTTCTTCTCTCTCCTCTCTCTCTCTCTCTCTCTCTCTCTCTCTCTCTCTCTCTCACACACACACACACACGTTTACTATGACAAGCTTTAAAAAGGAATATTAAAAAAAAAACAACACTAAAAACAACCGAACAACCAAAAAAAAAAATCCAAAATCCAAACAAAAAAACAAACCGAGGAGCAAATCCAGCACCTCAGCCATGCTTGGTGAGTTGCCTCTGAGCTATATCTCAGACTCTTTTTTTAGGTCTCACTATGTAGCCTTGGCCAGTTGGCTGGGAACTTGCCTTGCAGACCAGGCTGGCACCGAACTCTTAGAGATACACCTGCCTCTTTCTCCTGAGATCTGCTCAGCTGTTTCTCTCTCTCTCTCTCTCTCTCTCTCTCTCTCTCTCTCTCTCTCTCTCTCTCTCTCGTGTGGGGGGGAGAGTTTCTCTGTGTAGCCCTGGCTGGCCTGGTATTTGCTCACTCTGTAGACCAGGCTGTCCCTGAACTCAAAGATCCACCTGCCTCTGCCTCCCGAGTACTGGGAATTAAAGGTGTGCACCACCACCGCCTGGGTTCCTGTATGCCCTGCTTCCATTTTCAAACTTTTCATATGGAGGTAGAGTCTCCTACATTGCCCAAGATGACCCTGAACTCTTTCCAGAGCCCAGGCCGACCCTGAACTTGTAATCCTCCCGCTTAGATCTCCCGGGTAACTGGGATTATAGGCCTCCACACTGGGTTTAAAGAACAAACTTTCTTAAGATTCCATCATGGAGTCTGTGGTTCAACCCCGGAAGAGGACCAGAGCTATTTTTGAGCAGAGAAGGGAGTGACCCACCTCTTTGCGGCAGTCCTCACTGATGATTTTGCTGTTATCCAGAATATCTGAAAAAAAACACACACACACACACACAAAACTCCCTTTACTTGCTCCTTAGCAACTGTCATCTTGAGCCCTGCCAGGAAGGCTGCAACGTGACTTACTGTGGGAAGAGGGGCATCGCTGTCCGTTGTACGCGAATCTGCTCAAGGTCATGTCAAAATCAGAAATCACCTAAGAAACCAAAGAGAGGTAACGGTGGCTGAACCTGGCCTCACCTCAGCCTGGGGTAACCACAAGTCTCACGGGCCACTGCCCAGTCAGCAGCAAAGCCTCTGCAAGGCTGGGAAGAGACAGAGAGGAGAAGGAAAGAAGTGATCCTGTGTCAGTACACGAGTTAACCTTGAGGAAACCAAAATCCCCTAAGTGTGTGGGTGACTCTCCGTGGCATCTTTCTCAAATGGACCGGTTCTTTCTCAGGGTGCCTTCCGACCTTTATGGATCTCCCCATCTTCAACTTCTTGTGGAGCCAGTTAGCCTGGGGTAGCCGGGCAGCTAGGCTTCAGAAGGCACTTCCCTTCTGAAACCAAGCCGCACGACCACATCGGACTACTTTGAAAGTTGGCTGTTGGGGTAGGTAGGCTCTCTCCCCCCGAGGCGAGCCAATTTGTCCATGCCCACTCCGGGGCGCAGGCTCACAGCGTGCTCACCCGCTGTGGCGGGAAGACCGCAGGACAGACACCCTTCCGCCACCCGGGCCGGCCGTGCCCCGCGCCCCGGTACCTGCAGGCGGTCTCCTCCGCCCCTGCGAAGGGCGCCCACGATTTCCTGCACCCGCCCGGGCTGCCGCATCAGGACCGTGGCCTTCATCAGACTCTTCACCTGTTGCGAGACCCGAGAGACCGGCTGACCCGAGCGCCGCGATAGGCGCTAAGGCAGCTGGGCCATCTCGCACCCGCGATCCCGCCACGCGGGACTCTTTCCCACCCGCGGCCTCACCTCCTCCGCCATCGCGCCGACCGCCTGCTTGGTGGGCGGCCCGGAAGACGTGCCCGCCCCGCAACCTCACTGCGCAGGCGTCGTCTCGCTCAAGTAGCGCTGGACTCAGTGCTGCGGGCCGGCCGGCCGTTTGCAGCCGGCTCGGGATGCTGGCCGGAGAAACGCGTTGGGAGGTGGGCGGTTCTACTGTGTGTGGGGGTGGGGTAGGGGAGGATCAAGACTCTGGAGTCCTGTGATGGGCTGTCGTGAGGCTTTGCTGTGCATGGGCTCCTGTCACTCTCTCTGGAATCCTTTGGCAAGAACCGTCTTTCCCAGGATTTGGGTCATAGCTCAGTGGAAGAGTGCCTGCCTGCATATATGTGTGTATGCATATATATATGCATACACACATATACATATATATACATATACATATATATATATGGCCCTGAGTTCCATCCCCAGTATTGCAAATAACAAAGCCCACCAGGTAATCCGTATGCATTTTGGACTAGGGATGCACCCAGGAGACACTTTCCTAACTGGACCCCTCATCATCACTAAGCAAATTAAGCCATCTCAGGGTCTAGAAGACCAGCCTGACATTTATTTAATCAGCTTTGCTTCTGGCTCTGCACACGAGGAGCCCAGTGGGAGTTGGGGAAGGATGCTGCAGGGATGTGGAATCGACCTGAAAACGCAACAGGAAGGTAGACTCAATAAAAGCCTCAATTGTGTTGGTGGCCACAGTTGTGCCCTAGGTCTGAGGGCAAGGAAGGAGGTGTGGGGTGGTCTGTGTGTATGTCCCTGGGGGAGGGGGAGGCAGAAGAAGGGGTAGGAGAGGTTCCAGAACCTGAGAGCACAATCCTGAGTGATCTCACTGCTCAGGATTCTGGAACTTGGGCTTGCCGGATGGTACCTATATGAAAGATGTAGTAGGGAAAGAGAGCGACAGCTGGCTAAAGGGGCCCCCCCAGAACCCTCCCCAACACCCCGGGAGAGCAGCCTCTCTCCCCTGGTCCCAAGGTGCCATGGAGATGGAGAACGCGGCGGCCTCCAGCCGGTTCCGCCAGCCTCACATGGAGAGGAAGATGAGTGCGATGACCTGTGAGATCTTCAACGAGCTTCGACTCGAGGGCAAGCTCTGCGATGTGGTCATCAGAGTCAACGGCTTGGAGTTCAATGCCCACAAGAACATCCTCTGTAGCTGCAGCTCCTACTTCAGGTACAACAGGGGCCCGAGCTAAGCCCAAGGGGAGTCAGGGCTCCGCGTGAGGCTTTGTCATCTGCTTCTCAGTTTCCCATTCCCCATCTTAAACGTAGGGCTACGGAAGCCCTGGGCTCCTTGGAGCCTGGCTGCGCTGCCTTCTAAGCAATCCCAGCTGGGGCCAGAGCCTCTCTCGGCTTCTTGATGTGTTTTAAACTGGGCTTCAGCCAATATCTGGCAAGTCAGGGGCTTTTCTCTTTGATCCTCACTTCAGCCAACTTCGAGTTGGACGCCTGTGGATTCTGCACTTAACCTAGGTGGTATCACTCCCAGCCCAGGCCCAGTAGAGATCACTGAAATCAGGAAGGTCAATAGTAAGAATACAGGGGATGGGGAGGGGATGAGGGGAGAGTAAGTACCCAGGAAATATTTTCAAAAGAAAAGGAGTTTGGGTTGAAATTCTTAACTCAGGGAGTGCATATGTTCTTTTGTTTATAAGCTGGGGGAAAAAAAAGTACTCGGTCCCAATGAAAACATGAGAAATATAGTCATTTTTTCAAGCCCAGCACGGTGGTACAGGCCTATAATCACATTTACTCAGAGGCTGAGACAAGAGGAGCAAAAAGTTCAAGGCCTTGGGGTCTGGGGATTTGGTTCAATAGTAGAAGGTTTGTTGTCCAGCGTGTACCACGCCCTGGGTTCAAGCCCCGGTTCTCAAACAGACCACCACTCACCAATAACAACAATAAAACCGTTCAAAGCCTGCCTAGGATACTTAGTGAGGGTCTGTCTCAATCACAATGACAACAGAAGGACTGGAGGATGAGAGCTAGGCACTGTGCCGCCCATGTGGAATGTCAGCTCTCAGGAGGTCAAGGCACCAAGATGAATTCAGTTCAACCAAGCTACATAAGCTCTAGGCCAGCCTGAGCTACAGACAAGACTCTGTCTCAGTTACAACTGTCTCAGTTGCCTGATTAACAAAACCCCAACCATTACCCTAAAAAGAATCTCTGTTCAGCTGAGGGGCCACTCCAGGGCTTGCAGGTCAAAAACTTAAAACTTTGAGGACTTGGGGAAAAATAAAAGCCAGGTGGTGGTGGTGCACACCTTTGATCCTAGCACTTGGGAGGCCAAGGCGGGCAGATCTCTGAGTTTGAGGCCAGCCTGATCTATAGAGCAAGCTCTAGGACTGCCAGGGCTACACAAAGAAACCCTTTCTCAAAAAAAAAAAAAAACCAAACCAAACAAACAATAAAACAACAACAAAAGACTTTATGTATAGATACATATTTTGCATGCCTGTGTGTGTTCTGGAACTGGAGTCAGGTAGGTGACACAGGTGCTGGGGACTGAACTCAAGTTCTCTCCAAGAGCACTGTGAGGACTTAACCGAGAACCATTGCCCCAGCCCTCGGACTTTGGGTTGGTTTGTTTGAAACTGGTTTGAGTTGTCCTCAAGTACAAGGTTTGTAGATGAGGGCTGGAGAGATGGCTCAGAGGTTAAGAAAACTGACTGCTGTTCCAGAGGTCCTGAGTTCAATTCCCAGCAACCACATGGTGGTTCACAACCATCTATAATGAGATCTGGTGCCCAGAACACTATATACATAGTAAATTTTAAAAAAGGTTTGTAGATGACAATGTGGCATTGCAATGTTAAAAGGTTGGCCATGCCTGATTCTCTACTCTAGAACAGAAGCTACGAAAAGACCATAAACCAGGCTCATGCCTATAATCCCAGAACTGGAAAGGCTGAGGCAGGAGGATCAGTAGTTCAAGGCCAGCCTGGGCACGGAGTGAGAATCTGCCTTTCAAATTCTTTTTGTTTGTTGTAAACAAACAAAAAACAAAGCTAAAACAACAAAAAATAAGATAGTAAATGTTTTTTTAAAAATTGCATTTGTTCATTTATTTTATGGATATTTGCCTACATGTCTGTCTGTCTGTCTGCGCCACATGCATGAAGTGCCTGAAAAGACCATAAGGGTATTGGATCCTATGGGACTGGAGTTACAGACTGTTGTCAGCTACCATGTTGATGGTTGGGCTTGAACCCTGTGTCTCTGGAAAAGAGCCATCTCTCCAGCCCCAAGACAGTAAAATATCTTAAGCTCCACAGGCCATATACTTTCTTGCAATTGCTCAACCTTGCCTTTATGTCAAGAAGGGCCAAACAGGGCACTTGGGAGGTAGAGACAGGCAGATCTCTGAGAATTCTAGGCCAGCCTGGTCTACATAGGGAGTTCCAGGGCTACATAGGTGAGACCCTGCCTTTAAAAAGAAAATGAATTGCCAGGTGGTAGTGGCACATGCCTTTAATCCCAGCACTCGGGAGGCAGAGACAGGTGGATCTCTGTGAGTTCAAGACCAGCCTGGTCTACAAGAGCTAATTCCAGGACAGCTAAGGTTGTTACATTGCATTTGACAGAGGCTGTAGGCTGGCAAGCCACAGTCCTGAGGAATAATTTGAAGCCTAAGCCCACTGTCCTTAAGCCTCTTAGGGGGGAAAAATACAAGTGTGTGTGTGTGCGTGCGCACGTGTGTGTATGTGTGTATCATACACATATATGTTCTGTTTGATTCAATACTCAGCAATGTACCTAGTCACACAGAGAACCAAACACATGGCTCTGATCATCTGTTGCTTATTTTCTGACTGGCAGTATTCTGGGGATTGGGAAGAAAATAAAGAGATGATGTTCCTGTCCTCACGAGGCTTTCTTTCTTTCTTTCTTTCTTTCTTTCTTTCTTTCTTTCTTTCTTTCTTTCTTTCTTCTTCTTGTTTTTTTTTTTTTTGTTGTTGTTTTGTTTTGCTTTTTGTTTTTTGAGACAGTTTTTATGTAGCCCTGGTTTTTCTGGAACTTGTTATGTAGTCCAGGATGGCCTTGAATTCAGAAATCTCCCTGTCTCTGCCTACAGAATTCTGGGATTAAAGGTGTGCACCACCAAGTAGGTAAATACACATATAATTTTTTAATATGCATATATTTTTGTAAGATTTATATATGTGTGTATATATATGTGTATGTATGTGTGAGTGTATGCATATGTATATGTATGTGTGTGTATATGTATACATATATATGACTGTCAGGGACCAGCAAGATGACTCACTAGTAAAGGTACTTGCTGCTCAGCATGATGACCTAGGTTCAATCCCTAGAATCTACATGGTAGGAAGAGAGCACCAACTCTCACATGTTGTCCCCTGACCTCCACACAAACACTCCACACACACACACACACACACAAACATATAAATAAACTTAATTTAAAAAAAGATGGTCAGAGAAGACTTTGCTGACAAGGCGATACGTGAATTATCTAGCGGATTAGGACATGGACCTCGGAAGTCTTGGGGACTTCCAGGGAGAGGGAACTCAAGTAAGGAGGTGGAATTAGCTCCAGGACACAAAGAATAGGTAAGAAGCCCTGAGGACAGAGGACAGGGAAGATGGGAGATACCCAGAGCTCACCAATTCTTGCAGTTCTTAGTAAAGACCTAGCATTTCCCTCTTAACAAGTCAGGGGAAGGTTTTGAATGCAAGGGCGACACGGGCTACGTAAGCTTTGTAAGGATGGCTCCGGGGCTGGAGCAGGGTTGTCCAGTCACATGGGAGATTTGGTGGGCAGAGGGTCAAGACAGATTTAGATTTAATTTTGTGTGTATGAATGTTTTGTCTGCACATAGGCCTGGGTATCACTTGTGGGCCTGGTGTTTGTGGAGGCCAGCAGAAGGCTACAGAGTCCCTAAAAAGGAAGTTAGGATGGTTATGAGCCACCATGTAGGTGCTGGGACTCTGCAAGAGCAACAAGTACTCATATTGCTGGGTCATCTCTATCCTCTGGGACCCGGGTCTTTTTTTTAAATTATTTTTTAATTTATGCGTATAAATGTTTTGTCCGTGTGTATGTATGTGCACCATGTACATGCCCGATGCCTGCAGAGATCAGAAGTCACTGAATTCCCTGGAACTGGAGCTATACATGGTTGTGAGCCACCATGTGGGTAGTGGGAATTGAACTTGGGTCCAGTGCAAGAGCAACTCCTGAGGCATTTCTCCAGCCCATAACAGAGTCTTGGTCTTATTTTCACTCTGGAGCTCACTTTCTCCATCCAGAAACTGTAAACGAAACAAGGGTGGTGGGCTGGGTGAATGAGTCAGTGGATAAGTGCTTGCTGCCCAAGCAGGGAGACCTGAGTTCAGATCCCCAGAAACCATAGAAAAGCCAAGCCGAGTGGCACATACTTATAATTCCAACATTGGGAGGAAGAGATAGGGTGATCCTGGGGTTTGCTGGCTAGCCAGGCTAGTCAAAACAGTGTGCTCCAGTGTGAGTGAGACCCGTGTCTCAAAGACAAAAAATATACACACATACATACATACGTACATACATACGTACATACATAGCAAAGACAGTCAACAATGATCTATAGCATTGATATACCAGCACAGGCTAGTATACCTGCATACACACACACACACACACACACACACACACACACACACCTGGAAAAAAGAGGGTAAAGACAGACTGCAGGAGGTTCCTGGAAAATTCTTTTCACACCCACTGTATAGAGCCATTCTTCGCTGCACTCCCTCAGGCCAGTCTAGTTCCAACACACTCACTGGGCAACACAGAGTGTGTCCCAGCCCTCAGAAGGCAAAGGGGCCAGGGGTGGGGTGAGAGTGGCCACCAGGAGCGGACTGTTTCTGTGCTGTTAATTTCTCTCGTCTTTGGACCCCCCCCCCCCCAGAGCTTTGTTTACAAGTGGCTGGAACAACACGGAGAAGAAGGTTTACAACATTCCCGGTATTTCCCCCGACATGATGAAGCTGATTATTGAGTATGCGTACACTCGGACCGTGCCAATCACCCCTGACAATGTGGAGAGGCTGCTGGCTGCTGCCGACCAGTTTAACATCATGGGCATTGTTAGGGGTTGTTGCGAGTTCCTCAAGTCGGAGCTGTGTCTGGATAACTGCATCGGCATCTGCAAGTTCACGGACTACTACTACTGCCCGGAGCTGAGGCAGAAGGCCTACATGTTCATCCTGCACAACTTCGAGGAGATGGTGAAAGTCTCAGCGGAGTTTCTGGAGCTCTCGGTCACTGAACTCAAGGACATCATCGAGAAAGATGAGCTCAACGTGAAGCAGGAGGACGCTGTATTTGAGGCCATTTTAAAGTGGATTTCTCACGACCCTCAAAATAGGAAGCAACATATTTCAGTTTTGCTTCCTAAGGTCAAGTTTGGATATTCTTTGCAAAGGCTTAGTTGCTTGCGTTCGACTGGTTTATCCAGAGGGACCATCCCTAAGAGCCACAGAGCCCAGGGTTGTGCCAACGCTTCATGAGAGGCATCTCCCGCTTCTCTCTGAAGTTTGCAGTTTTCTCTTCCCTTGATGTTGCTTTCGTTAAATTCCCTCTTGATGCGGGGGGGGGGGGGAGCAGCAGGGGAGTCCACAGAGTTCTAAAAGGTCTCTTTCCATTTGCTACACTCCCTACACCGAACAGGAACTAAGTCACAAAGAGACAGGAATTAAGTCACAAGAGTGGCATACAGTGGTAGCCACTTGATCCTATCTACTGTTTTACATACAGAGCTATATTTAATTTCTGGACAATTATACGGCTTCTTTTGGTTGAAAAGCTCTACCCAGTGGCCAAGAAATGTGTAATTGTTACCCTTGGGGGCCTTCTGACTAGCTCACGTCTCTGTATGTAATACCACCTCCTCAAGACAAATACACGTTATTAAAAAGCAAACAAAGGCACTTGGAATATGGCTCAGAGGTTAAGAGCACTTGCTGCTCTTTCAGAAAGTGGGGCTTAGGCCGGGCGGTAGTGGCGCATGCCTTTAATCCCAACACTTGGGAGGCAGAGGCAGGCAGATCTCTGTGAGTTCGAGACCAGCCTGGTCTACAGAGCTAGTTCCAGGACAGGCTCCAAAGCCACAGAGAAACCCTGTCTCGAAAAACCAAAAA